TGGACCGAACAACATGACATCAACGTGATCTTACTACTATGAGCTTAACCATATAAAAAGAAGGTAAATAGGGGTATACCCTTCAGTTCGGTCGAGGATTGCACGATGACTTGCGTGCAGTTTTGGTGCTTGAACGTGTGCGCCTTAGCTTCCTTTATACTTCCGCCTTCCCTAGCTATTTTGTACTATTTTTCTCTTATTTTTCCTTACTGTTTTTCTCTTTGTTTCTTGCTGAGGAACACTCGGTTTTCATGAGGAAAATGCATAAGAACTCACCTTGCACGTACGGTAATTTATGGGAGTGAAAACCGAAGGTGAAAGTGAAGTCAAAGAGGTGATTGATGATGCACTCTCCCCTTAACGCCAAGTGTTCTACACGTGTGCTGAGGTGGGACACTTGAGCTTAGTCATAGCCGAGGTGGCGGCCATGCACGGGCTTAGTCATCGCCCGTGCATCCGTGGTGCGCCGTGTGTGCAAGCACCTAGGTGAGTCATAGGCACAACTTGCACCCAAACTCCTTCCTTTGAAAATTCTTCACGGCAACTTGAAAGCTTAAAGTTTGGATTACTTAACCTTGATCATAGGGCTTAAAGGATCATAAGCGCATGCTTAAGGCGCTTGATGGTGCGCGCGATGCGCGGTGCGCGAAAATGCACGCGGTGCGCATTTGCGTGCGTGGTCGTATGCACAACATGCGTATGCACGTGCGTGCTAAGTGTTCCTTAGTACATACATGACTTAATATAAATTTGACATTAAATTCAGAACATGCTAAGCTATTAATAATTAATCCCGATTAATAACATCCGTTTATAAATAAACGGTTCGGAAACTAATTATCAATTGGACTCGGTTAAAAATTAACCGGATAAACTTTTCGACTTAACGTCGAACTTATTCGCTGAAAATGAACGGAATCAATAAAAGATAATACATCATTTCCATTAACAAGAGGTTAGGTTATTACAATCTACCCTCCTTAAAATATTTCCGTCCTCGGAAATATAAAACAAAACATATATACATGAAAATATACATATCAGAATTGAAAGTCGGGAAAACGAGCGCGAATGTCAGCCTCCTGCTCCCAAGTGGCTCCGTGGCGATCCCACTGAACACGTACGAGGGGAACATTACGCTTTCGGAGCCGTCGAACCTGCCGGTCCAACACAGCTACCGGTCGTTCCTCGTAAGATAAGTCTGGATGAATCTCAACATCAGTATGAAGAATAACATGATCGGGGTCGCACACGTACTTGCGTAACATAGACACATGAAAAACATTGTGCACACAGGATAACTCGGGAGGTAAGGCTAAACGATACGCAACATTGCCCACTCGCTCAAGTATTTCGAACGGGCCAATAAACCGAGGGTGTAACTTCCCTCTCTTCCCAAATCGAATAACTCCGAGAAATGGACTAACTCTGAGAAAAGCGTGCTCGCCAACCTCGAACTGAATATCTCGTCGATGATGATCGGCGGTTGATTTCATTCTGCTCTGAGCTGTTCTGAGTCTCTGCCGGATCAACTCGACTTGCTCGGCTGTCTCCTCGATCAGCTTCGGACCGAGTACTCGACGTTCTCCGACGTCGTCCCAATAAAGAGGGGAACGACATTTACGACCGTATAGTGCCTCATAAGGAGCCATCTGAATAGAAGAATGATAACTGTTGTTGTACGCAAATTCGACGTACGGCAATAAAGACTCCCATTTGGCACCCCTGTCAACAGTCAAAGCACGTAACATATCCTCCAACGTCTGTATAGTCCGCTCCGTCTGTCCGTCAGTCTCGGGATGGTAGGCTGAACTGAAGGCTAACTTCGTACCCATTGCCTCGTGTAAACTCTTCCAGAATCTACTGGTGAATCTGGGGTCTCTATCTGACACAACAGTAACAGGTACTCCATGGAGTCGAACGATCCCACGGACATAAATCTCAGCCAACCGATCCAAAGACATATTCATCGATACTGGCAAGAAGTGGGCAACCTTAGTCAATCTGTCGACCACGACCCAGATAGCGTCGTGATGTTCAAACGACCTTGGTAACCCCGTGACAAAATCCATCGCAACTTCCTCCCACTTCCACCTCGGAATCGACAGTGGTCGTAGAAGGCCTATGGGACTCTTATGCTCGGCCTTGACTTGCTGACAGGTTAAACATCTTCTTACAAAGTCAGCAACATCTTTCTTCAATCCCTTCCACCAAAACGACCCTTTCAGGTCATGGTACATCTTTGTACTTCCTGGATGGGCTAGATAGGGTGCAGTATGAGCCTCAGATAAAATCTCCTTCCTCAATGCTTCGACTTTCGGCACCACAATCCTGCCACGAAGCTCTAAGGCCCCATCAGTGCCTCGGTGAAAACCCTCGACGCCTCTGGCACGAACTTTAGCATCAATCGTACGAATGAACTCATCTGAAGCCTGCTCTTGCCGGATTCTCTCCCTCAGCGTCGGCTGAACCTGCATAGAATTAACACTCCCCAAACTGGCTGTAGGAAGTGCATCAACTAGCTGGATCTGCATCCGGGCGAATTCATGAATCAATTGACTCTGCTGAGTAACAACGTACGTCAAATCACCCTTCACCTTGTGGCTTAGGGCATCAGCAACAACATTCGCCTTTCCCGGATGATACTGGATCGTACAATCATAATCCTTGACGAGCTCTAACCAACGGCGCTGCCTCATATTGAGCTCCTTCTGAGTAAAGATATACTGCAAGCTCTTATGATCAGTAAAGATTTCGCATTGACCGCCGTATAGATAGTGTCGCCAAATCTTGAGGGCATGAACAACTGCAGCTAATTCCAAGTCGTGCGTTGGATAGTTCTGTTCATGTGTTTTGAGCTGGCGTGATGCATAAGCAACGACCTGGCCGTCTTGCATAAGTACACATCCCAAACCCTGCCTCGAGGCATCACTATAAATGGTGAAGCTCCGAGAAGGATCGGGTATAGTCAACACCGGTGTCGTCGTAAGCCTCCTTTTCAACTCCTGGAAACTTGACTCACAACGGTCTGTCCACTCGAACTTTACAGACTTCCTCGTCAGTTGAGACAAAGGGAGTGCAATCTTCGAGAACCCTTCGATAAATCTACGATAATAACCTGCAAGGCCGAGGAAACTACGAACCTCGGACGGATTCTTTGGTGCTGACCAATTCTGGACTGCAGCAATTTTGGAAGGATCAACTTCAATACCTGCTGAAGTAATGATGTGGCCAAGAAAAGCCACTCGCTGAAGCCAAAATTCGCACTTGGAGAACTTTGCATATAACTTCTCGCGTCTAAGGGTCGAAAGAACGGCCCTCAGGTGCTCCTCGTGCTCCTCCTGGCTGTTGGAATAAATAAGAATATCATCGATGAAGACAATAACGAACTGGTCGAGAAAAGGATGAAATACACGGTTCATCAAGTCCATGGATACTGTCGGGGCATTACTGAGGCCAAACGGCATAACCACGAACTCGAAGTGACCGTATCTCGTACGAAAAGCTGTCTTGGGTATGTCTGACTCCTTGATTTTCAGTTGATGGTAGCCTGAACGTAAATCGATCTTAGAAAACACGCAGGCACCTCTCAACTGATCAAATAAATCATCGATCCTGGGAAGTCGATATTTATTCTTGATCATCAACTGGTTAAGATCCCGGTAGTCGATACACATACGCATGGATCCATCCTTCTTCTTGACAAAAAGTACTGGTGCTCCCCAAGGAGAAACGCTCGGTCGTATAAAACCGAGATTCAGCAACTCTTGAATTTGGGTCTTTAATTCCTGCAATTCTTTAGGCGCCATTCTGTACGGTGCCTTTGAAACGGGTCCGGCTCCAGGGATAAGATCAATAGAAAATTCCACCTGTCGGCAAGGCGGACCTCTGGGAAGCTGGTCTGGAAACACGTCCATGAACTCACGAACAATAGGGATATCATGAGGTGAACGTGCCTTTGACTCATCTCCAACGAGGCTCACAAGATAACCCTGGCAATCACCCCGTCGAAGAATCTTTCTGGCTTTCGCCATAGAAATAATATGTGGCAAGGTACGAGTCCTGGAGCCGTAATAAGTGATCTGATCATCTCCCGGAAGATAAAGAGTAATCTCCCGGTTATAACATCGAATATCTGCGTGAAATCGGGTTAGCCAATCCATACCGAGTATGAGGTCAAAATCCCTCATCTCGATAACATAAGTATCAGTAATAATAATACGGCCGCCGATGGAAAGGCTGAGATCGGTGGCTCTAGCGTCAGTCACTATCTTTCTTCCCGAGGCTAGACTCACCTCGTGAGGATCGACAGCGGTAGTGGAACGAACCCCAATAGCTTCGAGACATCGACGCGATATACAAGAATGCGTCGCTCCAGTATCAAATAAGGCATAGACAGGCACATCATTAAGAATAATCATCCCGGACATGGTACCTGGATGCTGGTCGGCCTCCCTCTGATCAACTGCAAAGACGCGGGCCTGTTGTCTGCCGCGTTGCTATTGCTGTGGTTGTGGTGGTTGCTGCCTGGGTTGCTGTTGTTGAAGTTGCTGTTGTTGAGGTTGCTGTGGCTGTTGACGTTGTTGCGGTTGTTGTTGCAGTCGTTCTGGACAGTTGTTGCTGAAGTGACCTGGCTGACGGCAAAAGAAAAAAACATTCTGGCCCACAAGGCATTCTCCACGATGGTGTTTCCCGCAAGTTGGGCATTCTGGATATTGTCTGGGATGGGTCCTCCGGTTGTCTGAGCCCCCTCTGAGCTTCCTCTTCTTCTGGTTTGTTGATGGTTGGGCTACTTTAGGCTGGACTGTTGACTGAGCAACTGGTTGGGCTGGTGTCTGGACGACTTCACGTCGGATACTGGCATCGACTTCTTAGGCAATGGCAACTGCACGAGCGTAGGTCTGGACGCCGTGACCCACGATGTTGTGGCGGACTGCTGGGCGAAGTCCATCGGTGAAACGGTGGGCTCTCTTTGCTTCCATACCTACAAGATCTGGTACAAAGGCTCCGAGACGAGTGAACTCTCGTTCGTACTCGTCAACAGTACGAGTACCCTGAGTGAGTGCTAAGAACTGGCGCTCCATGTCTGCTCGGTAATACGAGGGATAATACTTTTCTCGGATCAGCTCCTTGAACTGGTCCCACGTACAACCGTCTTTTTCACCGGGACGCATACTCCAATAGGCTTGCCACCAGAGTCTGGCATCAACGGTCAGCTGGATCTGGGCACATAACATGCGATAACGATCAGGGCAGTTCATGACCTCGAAAATAATCTCGAGACCCTGAACCCATTCGTCTACTACACGAGGATCTCCTTGGCCGGAAAACTTTTCTGGATGGTAGTCGCGAAACAAAGCGACCACTGTGGCCTGTGGGAGTTCCTGGTGATGTGGCTCTCTACGAGGAGGCATCTGAACATTGAAATATTTAACATGATTAAATAATCATAAGAGATTAACTAACTGATTACTTAAATACACAAATCTCTTGACGAGTCGCTAAAATAACCCGAGAATACTAAAGTCGAACAATCAAATGACTAGGACAATCGACTAGGTTCTAAAAATACTCGAGCATCTTACTGGTTTCTAGGGTTAATAACCTGGTACCCTCTACTGAGCATAGACTTAAGTATTCGTTTAAATATAAATAAACTGAAACTCAGCACTTACCTGATAGTCGGCGAGGCGTGAGCGTAGCGTGGTCGGGTCTTTTCTGAAAATTTCTAACTTTAAAAGTATTCGGATACACGAAAATGTGCTCTGATACCAATTTGTAACACCCCTTAGCTTACTAAAGTCAGACTGCGATTTTCACAAATTCTTTTCTAATATTTATGTTATTTTGCGAAATATGTCTCGGGATGCTACATAAAATATTTCCTTTCTAAAAATCCGTTAACTATAAACTTATTTATGAAAAACGGATTATCATTATTAAACAAGCGTGTGATACTGTATAAAACTAGACCCGAGAACTCGGATCGTCGTCTGAAAATTTACATGCTAGTTTGAAAGTCTGAAAACGTCAGCGGAAGTAAAGCGTGGCAAATATATACATATCAACAGTCTACAAAAATATAAACATATTTACATGTACTGGACCAGCGACCACCAGCTCCACTCACTTCTCCGGACCGACCCTGTCTCCTGAAAAAGAATCATAATAGTGGGAGCGTGAGTACTAAAAACACTGTACTCTGCAGAAACTCATACTAAAGTAAACATCAATAATAATATCAATATCATGACTGCAGATATATATAAAT